AGCATATACTACAGGACTACCAGCATATACTACAGGACTACCAGCATATACTACAGGACTACAGGACTACCAGCATATACTACAGGACTACCTACCAGCATATACAGGACTACCAGCATATACTACAGGACTACAGCATATACTACAGGACTACCAGCATATACTACAGGACTATACTACAGGACTACCAGCATATACTACAGGACTACAGGACTACCAGCATATACTACAGGACTACCAGCATATACTACAGGACTACCAGCATATACTACCAGGATATACTACAGGACTACCAGCATATACTACAGGACTACCAGCATATACTACAGGACTACCAGCATATACTACAGGACTACCAGCATATACTACAGGACTACCAGCATATACTACAGGACTACCAGCATATACTACAGGACTACCAGCATATACTTCAGGACTACCAGGACTACCAGCATATACTACAGGACTACCAGCATATACTACAGGACTACCAGCATATACTACAGGACTACAGGACTACCAGCATATACTACAGGACTACCAGCATATACTACAGGACTACCAGCATATACTACCAGCATATACTACAGGACTACCAGGACATATACTACAGGACTACCAGCATATACTACAGGACTACAGGACTACCAGCATATACTACAGGACTACCAGCATATACTACAGGACTACCAGCATATACTTCAGGATACCAGCATATACTACAGGACTACCAGCATATACTACAGGACTACCAGCATATACTACAGGACTACCAGCATATACTACAGGACTACAGGACTACCAGCATATACTACAGGACTACCAGCATATACTACAGGACTACAGGACTACCAGCATATACTACAGGACTACCAGCATATACTACAGGACTACAGGACTACCAGCATATACTACAGGACTACCAGCATATACTACAGGACTACAGGACTACCAGCATATACTACAGGACTACCAGCATATACTACAGGACTACAGGACTACCAGCATATACTACAGGACTACAGGACTACCAGCATATACTACAGGACTACCAGCATATACTACAGGACTACAGGACTACCAGCATATACTACAGGACTACCAGCATATACTACAGGACTACCAGCATATACTACAGGACTACCAGCATATACTACAGGACTACCAGCATAGACTACGGGACTACCAGCATATACTACAGGACTACCAGCATATACTACAGGACTACAGGACAGCATATACTACAGGACTACCAGCATATACTACAGGACTACCAGCATATACTACAGGACTACCAGCATATACTTCAGGACTACAGGACTACCAGCATATACTACAGGACTACCAGCATATACTACAGGACTACCAGCATATACTTCAGGACTACCAGCATATACTACAGGACTACCAGCATATACTACAGGACTACCAGCATATACTACAGGACTACAGGACTAGCATATACTACAGGACTACCAGCATATACTACAGGACTACCAGCATATACTACAGGACTACCAGCATATACTACAGGACTACCAGCATATACTACAGGACTACCAGCATATACTACAGGACTACCAGCATATACTACAGGACTACCAGGACTACAGGACTACCAGGACTACCAGCATATACTACAGGACTACCAGCATATACTACAGGACTACCAGCATATACTACAGGACTACCAGCATATACTACAGGACTACCAGCATATACTACAGGACTACCAGCATATACTACAGGACTACCAGCATATACAACAGGACTACCAGCATATACTACAGGACTACCAGCATATACTACAGGACTACCAGCATATACTACAGGACTACCAGCATATACTACAGGACTACCAGCATATACTACAGGACTACCAGCATATACTACAGGACTACCAGCATATACTACAGGACTACCAGCATATACTACAGGACTACCAGCATATACTACAGGACTACCAGCATATACTACAGGACTACCAGCATATACTACAGGACTACCAGCATATACTACAGGACTACAGGACTACCAGCATATACTACAGGACTACCAGCATATACTACAGGACTACCAGCATATACTACAGGACTACCAGCATATACTACAGGACTACCAGCATATACTACAGGACTACCAGCATATACTACAGGACTACCAGCATATACTACAGGACTACCAGCATATACTACAGGACTACCAGCATATACTACAGGACTACCAGCATATACTACAGGACTACCAGCATATACTACAGGACTACCAGCATATACTACAGGACTACCAGCATATACTACAGGACTACCAGCATATACTACAGGACTACCAGCATATACTACAGGACTACCAGCATATACTACAGGACTACAGGACTACCAGCATATACTACAGGACTACAGGACTACCAGCATATACTACAGGACTACAGGACTACCAGCATATACTACAGGACTACCAGCATATACTACAGGACTACCAGCATATACTACAGGACTACCAGCATATACTACAGGACTACCAGCATATACTACAGGACTACCAGCATATACTACAGGACTACAGGACTACCAGCATATACTACAGGACTACCAGCATATACTACAGGACTACCAGCATATACTACAGGACTACCAGCATAGACTACAGGACTACCAGCATATACTACAGGACTACCAGCATATACTACAGGACTACCAGCATATACTACAGGACTACCAGCATATACTACAGGACTACAGGACTACCAGCATATACTACAGGACTACAGGACTACCAGCATATACTACAGGACTACCAGCATATACTACAGGACTACCAGCATATACTACAGGACTACCAGCATATACTACAGGACTACCACCAGCATATACTACAGGACTACCAGCATATACTACAGGACTACCAGCATATACAGGACTACAGGACTACCAGCATATACTACAGGACTACCAGCATATACTACAGGACTACCAGCATATACTACAGGACTACAGGACTACCAGCATATACTACAGGACTACCAGCATATACTACAGGACTACCAGCATATACTACAGGACTACCAGCATATACTACAGGACTACCAGCATAGACTACAGGACTACCAGCATATACTACAGGACTACCAGCATATACTACAGGACTACCAGCATATACTACAGGACTACCAGCATATACTACAGGACTACCAGCATATACTACAGGACTACCAGCATATACTACAGACTACCAGCATATACTACAGACTACCAGCATATACTACAGGACTAGCATATACTACAGGACTACCAGCATATACTACAGGACTACCAGCATATACTACAGGACTACCAGCATATACTACAGGACTACCAGCATATACTACAGGACTACCAGCATATACTACAGGACTACCAGCATATACTACAGGACTACCAGCATATACTACAGGACTACCAGCATATACTACAGGACTACCAGCATATACTACAGGACTACCAGCATATACTACAGGACTACCAGCATATACTACAGGACTACCAGCATATACTACAGGACTACCAGCATATACTACAGGACTACCAGCATATACTACAGGACTACCAGCATATACTACAGGACTAGCATATACTACAGGACTACAGGACTACCAGCATATACTACAGGACTACAGGACTACCAGCATATACTACAGGACTACCAGCATATACTACAGGACTACCAGCATATACTACAGGACTACAGGACTACCAGCATATACTACAGGACTACCAGCATATACTACAGGACTACCAGCATATACTACAGGACTACCAGCATATACTACAGGACTACCAGCATATACTACAGGACTACCAGCATAGACTACAGGACTACCAGCATATACTACAGGACTACCAGCATATACTACAGGACTACCAGCACTACAGGACTACCAGCATACTACTACAGGACTACCAGCATATACTACAGGACTACCAGCATAGGACTACCAGCATATACTACAGGACTACCAGCATATACTACAGGACTACCAGCATATACTACAGGACTACCATATACTACAGGACTACCAGCATATACTACAGGACTACCAGCATATACTACAGGACTACCAGCATATACTACAGGACTACCAGCATATACTACAGGACTACCAGCATATACTACAGGACTACCAGCATATACTACAGGACTACCAGCAGCATATACTACAGGACTACCAGCATATACTACAGGACTACCAGCATATACTACAGGACTACCAGCATATACTACAGGACTACCAGCATATACTACAGGACTACCAGCATATACTACAGGACTACCAGCATATACTACAGGACTACCAGCATATACTACAGGACTACCTACCAGCATATACTACAGGACTACCAGCATATACTACAGGACTACCAGCATATACTACAGGACTACCAGCATATACTACAGGACTACCAGCATAGGACTACAGGACTACCAGCATATACTACAGGACTACCAGCATATACTACAGGACTACCAGCATATACTACAGGACTACCAGCATATACTACAGGACTACCAGCATATACTACAGGACTACCAGCATATACTACAGGACTACCAGCACTACCAGCATATACTACAGGGACTACCAGCATATACTACTACAGCATATACTACAGGACTACCAGCATATACTACAGGACTACCAGCATATACTACAGGACTACCAGCATATACTACAGGACTACCAGCATACTACAGGACTACTATACTACAGGACTACCAGCATATACTACAGACTACCAGCATATACTACAGGACTACCAGCATATACTACAGGACTACAGGACTACCAGCATATACTACAGGACTACCAGCATATACTACAGGACTACCAGCATATACTACAGGACTACCAGCATATACTACAGGACTACCAGCATATACTACAGGACTACCAGCATATACTACAGGACTACCAGCATATACTACAGGACTACCAGCATATACTACAGGACTACCAGCATATACTACAGGACTACAGGACTACCAGCACATAAAGGTGCAGGTAAGGCGCCCACATGAAGGCGCTGCGCCGTGCACATCCTGCCACATATAAGGTCATGCCGCGCCATACACATCCCGCCACATATAAGGTCATGCTGCGCCGTACACATCCTGCCACATATAAGGTCATGCCGCGCCGTACACATCCTGCCACATATAAGGTCATGCCGCGCCGTACACATCCTGCCACATATAAGGTCATGCTGCGCCGTACACATCCTGCCACATATAAGGTCATGCCGCGCCGTACACATCCTGCCACATATAAGGTCATGCCGCGCCAGACACATCCCGCCACATATAAGGTCATGCCGCGCCATACACATCCTGCCACATATAAGGTCATGCTGCGCCGTGCACATCCCGCCACATATAAGGTCATGCCGCGCCAGACACATCCCGCCACATATAAGGTCACGCTGCGCCGTGCACATCCCGCCACATATAAGGTCATGCCGCGCCAGACACATCCCGCCACATATAAGGTCATGCCGCGCCGTACACATCCCGCCACATATAAGGTCATGCCGCGCCGTACACATCCCGCCACATATAAGGTCATGCCGCGCCAGACACATCCCGCCACATATAAGGTCATGCCGCGCCGTACACATCCCGCCACATATAAGGTCATGCCGCGCCGTACACATCCCGCCACATATAAGGTCATGCCGCGCCGTACACATCCTGCCACATATAAGGTCATGCCGCGCCGTACACATCCTGCCACATATAAGGTCATGCCGCGCCGTACACATCCTGCCACATATAAGGTCATGCCGCGCCGTACACATCATGCCACATATAAGGTCATGCCGCGCCGTACACATCCCGCCACATATAAGGTCATGCCGCGCCGTACACATCCCGCCACATATAAGGTCATGCCGCGCCAGACACATCCCGCCACATATAAGGTCATGCCGCGCCAGACACATCCCGCCACATATAAGGTCATGCCGCGCCGTACACATCCCGCCACATATAAGGTCATGCCGCGCCAGACAGATCAGCTGAGCCAGTAAACACATGACGTCACAGCCGCCATCTTGGAATGCCCAGAAGATTACCAGCCGTGAGAGGGTTATAACTACTGCCGCCCCTTAACGGAACAAGGGGCTGTAACCACCCCTCTCCGCTAATTGGAGGTACAGTTAAGAGGTCAAGGGATCGTTTACGCGGCCGGCATGTTGACTGCGGCTCCCTTGTTGTTGCGCAGAGAAGTGCGCGTGATCCTGGGACGGTTGGGGGGGGGAGGGGGGGTGACAGTGATGGGGCACTGGGGAATTGGGACCTGCAGGGAGGGGGGGGGTAGGGCTATGACTAAGCCTAATGCTATGCCGTACCTAACTATTAATCAACTACCAATTTACAGTTATGTCAAGAAAGGCGTGAGGTGAAAGGACATATATCCAACCGCTTCTGTCCTGACCGGGGATTGAACCTTGGTGTCTTAGTTGTGACCCGAGAATGTAGACCACTGCACTACAGAGCCCTTAAATTAGATCATTTCAGGCTTTTTTCACATCCACATTTAAGGCAAGATTGTTCATGTATAGCGTCGAAGCTAAGCTCTGGGGCCCCGACTGTTAGGCTGTAATAGTAAACCAGGTGATCCATCCGTCGTAGAGACAGTGATAATGGAGTGGGTGTAATAGGCTTGACTGGTGAGGTATAGCACCTTGTTACTCCAGCAGGTGTGTGAACCATACCACACAGCAGGTGTGTGAACCACACCACACACAGCAGGTGTGTGAACCACACCACACACAGCAGGTGTGTGAACCATACCACACACAGCAGGTGTGTGAACCATACCACACACAGCAGGTGTGTGAACCACACCACACAGCAGGTGTGTGAACCACACCACACACAGCAGGTGTGTGAACCATACCACACACAGCAGGTGTGTGAACCACACCACACACAGCAGGTGTGTGAACCATACCACACACAGCAGGTGTGTGAACCACACCACACACAGCAGGTGTGTGAACCATACCACACACAGCAGGTGTGTGAACCACACCACACACAGCAGGTGTGTGAACCATACCACACACAGCAGGTGTGTGAACCACACCACACACAGCAGGTGTGTGAACCATACCACACACAGCAGGTGTGTGAACCACACCACACACAGCAGGTGTGTGAACCATACCACACACAGCAGGTGTGTGAACCACACCACACACAGCAGGTGTGTGAACCATACCACACACAGCAGGTGTGAACCACACCACACACAGCAGGTGAACCACACCACACACAGCAGGTGTGTGAACCATACCACACAGCAGAAGGCGGCCACGACTACTGTGACAGACAACACCGTGAACCATACCACACAGCAGAAGGCGGCCACGACTACTGTGACAGACAACACCGTGAACCACACCACACAGCAGAAGGCGGCCACGACTACTGTGAACCACACCACACAGCAGAAGGCGGCCACGACTACTGTGACAGACAACACCGTGAACCACACCACACAGCAGAAGGCGGCCACGACTACTGTGAACCACACCACACAGCAGAAGGCGGCCACGACTACTGTGAGAGACAACACTGTGAACCACACCACACAGCAGAAGGCGGCCACGACTACTGTGAACCACACCACACAGCAGAAGGCGGCCACGACTACTGTGAGAGACAACACCGTGAACCATACCACACAGCAGAAGGCGGCCACGACTACTGTGACAGACAACACCGTGAACCACCATTGAGGCATGAGAGGTAACATTAACTAGAAGTAAGAACCAGCCAGCAGATGGTGATATAGGATGACAACTGACACACCTTGTGATCAAGTGACTACATTATGCCAGAGGGCAGGAGGACAATATGTAGAAAATGACAAGGAAATGTGTGTGAAGCTTAATATGCCAGTTTGGAGGTGTGTTGAGGCGGGGGGCGGAGCAGCTGCCAGTGCCAGGAGAGGCAGCACCCACACATGACAACCACTCACACACCTGCACAGGGAATGATCCCACACATGACAACCACTCACACACCAGCACAGGGAATGATCCCACACATGACAACCACTCACACACCTGCACAGGGAATGATCCCACACATGACAACCACTCACACACCTGCACAGGGAATGATCCCACACATGACAACCACTCACACACCTGCACAGGGAATGATCCCACACATGACAACCACTCACACACCTGCACAGGGAATGATGACACACATGACAACCACTCACACACCTGCACAGGGAATGATCCCACACATGACAACCACTCACACACCTGCACAGGGAATGATGACACACATGACAACCACTCACACACCTGCACAGGGAATGATCCCACACATGACAACCACTCACACACCTGCACAGGGAATGATCCCACACATGACAACCACTCACACACCTGCACAGGGAATGATCCCACACATGACAACCACTCACACACCTGCACAGGGAATGATGACACACATGACAACCACTCACACACCTGCACAGGGAATGATCCCACACATGACAACCACTCACACACCTGCACAGGGAATGATCCCACACATGACAACCACTCACACACCTGCACAGGGAATGATGACACACATGACAACCACTCACACACCTGCACAGGGAATGATCCCACACATGACAACCACTCACACACCTGCACAGGGAATGATGACACACATGACAACCACTCACACACCTGCACAGGGAATGATCCCACACATGACAACCACTCACACACCTGCACAGGGAATGATCCCACACATGACAACCACTCACACACCTGCACAGGGAATGATCCCACACATGACAACCACTCACACACCTGCACAGGGAATGATCCCACACATGACAACCACTCACACACCAGCACAGGGAATGATCCCACACATGACAACCACTCACACACCTGCACAGGGAATGATCCCACATATGACAACCACTCACACACCAGCACAGGGAATGATCCCACATATGACAACCACTCACACACCTGCACAGGGAATGATCCCACACATGACAACCACTCACACACCTGCACAGGGAATGATCCCACACATGACAACCACTCACACACCAGCACAGGGAATGATGACACAGAAAGCATCATTACATGAAAATAAAGGCTATGGAACCAGACCATATTTCACCAAGGATGTTAAAGGAAGCAGCACAGACCCTCAGTGTACCTCTGGTTTAAGGCAACTGAGAAGGGAGCTTCACCCGGGAAGATGGCAAATATACCGTGGCAATATTTAAGAAAGGAGAGAGTAAGGAAGCACTCGCCCACAGACCAGTATCAGTGGTCTGGGAGTAAGGAGCCCCCGCGAGGTGCTCTCAAGGCAGTACTTCTCGCCCACAGACCAGTATCAGTGGTCTGGGAGTAAGGAGCCCCCGCGAGGTGCTCTCAAGGCAGTACTTCTCAGGGGAAAGTGATAAGACGGAGGCAAGAAACCCTCCTTAACACCACCTCAATAATTATCGCGGTATTTATAATGGTCTCAGAGCATATTACGGTCCCCAAAACATTCTCCTCGCAAACTGGCAAGTGAACGTTTGTCCTAAATAGACAATATTCTTAAGTTCTAACTCTATTATATTATAAATTGATAGTTTAAGTTAAAATAGTCTATGGTAAACTCGTTTTCTTTGATATGCCCTCACCCATAAGTTTTCTCTAATGTGAAATTCTAGGTGGATGCACTATTAGTTTTTCGAGTATTTTATTTCACATGCTAGAAAATAATGAACTGTTCTAACCTAACCCTAACCTATCCTAACCTAACCTAACCTAACCTAACCCTAACCTAACCTAACCTAACCTAACCCTAACCTAACCCTAACCTAACCTAACCCTAACCTAACCCTAACCTATCCTAACCTAACCTAACCTAACCTAACCTAACCCTAACCTAACCCTAACCTATCCTAACCTAACCTAACCTAACCCTAACCTAACCCTAACCTATCCTAACCTAACCTAACCTAACCTAACCCTAACCTAACCTAACCTAACCTAACCCTAACCTAACCCTAACCTAACCTAACCGTGGATAGGGATTAGAAAACAGTACAAATTACATAGTGGTTTTGAAGTGATTACCCTAATTCACAAACGAGCCGATGACAGGTAATGGACAACAGGGACTAGAGTAGTTCCACACCTGAGGCTCTCATATGTAACGAGCACCAACATGCCTAACCAACCTGAGTGTCATAAGCGATAATTAGTTGAAATTGAAAGTGATTCTGTGATAAGGGAACAATAATAAGAAATACTGGAAAAAGTTGGGCAGATTGCATAGTTGTGGACTGCCAGAAAGACATTGACACAGTTCCACGCAGGAGACTACTGTGTAGACCTGAGAGGCAGGAGAAGGTGGGGGAGGACCACTGACAAGGGGGCAAGAGAGTGCCTTACACACACCAGTCACTCAAATACACCCTCCAAACATATTAAACACCCTCCAAACATATTAAACACCGTCCAAACACACCAAACACTGTCCAAACATATTAAACACTGTCCAAACACACCAAACACCGTCCAAACAAACCAAACACCCTCCAAACATATTAAACACCCTCCAAACATATTAAACACCGTCCAAACACACCAAACACTGTCCAAACATATTAAACACTGTCCAAACACACCAAACACTGTCCAAACACACCAAACACCGTCCAAACACTGTCCAAACACACCAAACACCGTCCAAACACACCAAACACCGTCCAAACACCGTCCAAACACACCAAACACCGTCCAAACACCGTCCAAACACCAAACACCGTCCAAACACTGTCCAAACACACCAAACACCGTCCAAACACACCAAACACCGTCCAAACACCGTCCAAACACACCAAACACCGTCCAAACACCGTCCAAACACTGTCCAAACACCGTCCAAACACCGTCCAAACACTGTCCAAACACACCAAACACCATACAAATACACCAAACACCGTCCAATCACACCAAACACTGTCCAAACACCGTCCAAACACACCAAACACCGTCCA